TTGTGGTGGTGTATAGAGCCAAAGATGTTAGAATTGTGTCGATGTCCCAATATTTCTGGACCTGACTGTATATCCTATCCTGGGCAAGACAGCCTGGCTCCTCTTGTCTACATGTTAGTAATCTCTGCTTAGATTCCTGTAATGCAGCCTATGTATTCTTGATCTTGATCTGGAACTGCAGCTGGTGCATCAGATCGTAGGCAGGTTGCTGAGTGGGGCATCTGGCTATGTGCATGTTCCAGTTGTTTAAGCAACTACATTGGCTGCCAGTTAGCTTCCAAGTTAGCTTCCAATTACCTATGAGCCAGGTTCAACATTGGTTTATGACCAAAAAAATCCTAAATAGGACTAGGATACCTGACAGAACACTTTTGCTGTTAGATCTGATTGATCACTGAGATTGTTGTGAGAGGTTCTGCTGCTTGTACCTAGAACCACAGAGTGCTGTCTTATGTCACTCGAAGATTGGTTTCCTCTGTGATAGTACCTATAGTGTGGAATGGTCTGTCCCTTGAATTTCATGAGGCAACTGTTAAAGACCTGTCTCTTCATCCAAACCTTTTTTGTATTAATGTTTGAATTATTATTTTTGTTTCTGCTTTTTGGTTTTTTTGCTCTCCTTTTTATTACATACAGTTTAATATAGTTTTTAACTTATTATTTTTATTATGAATTTTCTGTTTTGTCAACTGTTTCAAGAAGCTTTTGTATAGGAAGCAGTATAAAAATAGGTTTTGTTGTTATTATCATTACTAGACAACTGCTCCCAGAATTCCTAGAAATAAGTCAACCTGTTGACTAAGACTTATACATAGTATCATCCAGTGCATCTGGAGGACACCAGGTTTAGGAAAGGTGATAAAGAGAGTGAAAGCAGTAACACAGTTTGTCCCAGACTACTGGGTAAAAATCCAAGGCTCTGAAGACTGGACCTAGAGAGTTTTGAAGCTGCTAGAGCCACCAGCAAGATGTGTTCCTGGAGGGTGAAGAAGTCAAGCTGTTGTTGCCATTATCATCAGGGCAGTGACAAGGACAGTCTGAGAGGAAGTGAGGGACAAGAGTTGAGCCTCAGACTTCCAGGAGGCTTGGTCTGACTGGGCATGGTGAGAGCATCTTTGTTGGTACCAATAGCGAGACCTCTATCTGTCACCATGGTTCCCGGTGGTTGAGATCTGAAGCTAGCCTTAGAAAGTTGCAAGAACCCAGAGAAGAGGATTTGTCAAACTGGCCTGACCTGGACAGTACTATAAGGCCATCCTCCCTGGATGAGGGTTTGGATTGGCTGTGGAAGGTTCCTGACCCAGAGTGAAAGAACAGGAGGCCTGGAGGAGATTTGTTGGAAGGTTGAAAGCTTTCTGGATGTAGGAGTTGGTATGAAGATTGAATAGAGTGAGGTTATTGGGGGATGGAATAAGATAGGGTTAGTGGTGTGTGGTACTGTATAAAGCCTACCCTGCACATGGCAACTAATGGCATTTAGGTGTATGGTAGGCTGGGACAGGAAATGTCAGAAAGGTGAATGGGGACATTGGGAACCACTGGAGTGAAATAATGGGTCTCTAATTGGTCCACGATGGGCAGGAATAAGTATGGCAGAGAAAAATGGGTAGGCCATTGTAAGAGAAGTAGGATTTCCATATTAGCAGGATTTCTTAAACCAAGGTCCTTGGACTTCTCTAGCTTCTTGGAGAGACCAGACAGTAATCTGGAATCTGTAGGGGGGTGATGGAAGCCCCATTCTTTCTCTGCCTCTTTCCACTGACTTCTCTGTTTTGTTTTAAAAAGACCATATATTTTTTGTATCCAATAAAGGGATGGGTAATCTGGCTCTGTATTTGACAGAGCTATCTCTCGCTCATGGGGATGTGGATTGTGAGTCTGCAGGCTGGATGCAGGCTATATTTAGAGCTCTCTCTGATGAACTTTTAAAAAGAGGTGAGGACACTACAGTATAGTGCTTTTGTCTTTTCCCCCATTAGAGCTCTCTTCCATGGCTGAATGTAGCAAGTAAAAATGAAAATCCTAACCCATAAAAATCCAAGTTGGAATTAGGAGGTTATGGAGTTAGTTAGGAACCAGTGAAGCTGGATGTGGTACAGATTTAATTTTGTTTCACAAATGTGATTCTAGCTGCTGTGACTTTGTTCTGAGTGGTAAACACCTGACTGAATTCAGTCTCTTCAGAAGTACTCAATTCTCCCTTCTCCTTTTTTTCTCTTTCAACTTCCTTGTAATTCTTTAATCTTGATATATGTGATGAAGACTTGACCTTTTTAATGAGTCAGGAACTTCCATTCTGGAAAAGATTGTAGACTAGAACATGTCCTCCAGTTAGATCACCTATGGAAAGAAGGAAGGAATACTGAATAGGTTTTCCCCAGAGATTGTGGATAGAAGATTTAGATGCTGTACTCTTTTATGGGAACCAGAGGGCCCAATCCAACACATTTTGTGCATGTATACACCCTGGTATAGGACCAATTGCTAGCCAGCCAGGAAAAAAAAAATAGAAAAGGAGAGCAATGACAAGGAATGAGAGTGTAGTGCGAAGAGCAGTCTCTCTGCCAAATGAAGGAAATCAATGAAATCAATGAATTCATTGAATGAATCTAATTCAAAAATGAACGAAAAGCAGTGTGGCCAGTGTGGAAACTTGTCGATGCCTCTTTTTAAAGGTATAATATCTTCCACTGTTTCAAGAAATAGTAATATTTTGTTTTCTAGTAGTATTTTCATTTAACACGACCAGCTTATATAGTTCCATATCTTGCATTATTAAGCATCATACCACATTTTTCTGCATATTGTTTATATGGTTTTACAATTAAGGAGAAGAGAGACAACTGATTGCCTTATTTTATTTCCAGGAGGAGTCTATACACAAATCAGCCAGTAGTGGTAGTATTTCTCCCTCCCAGATGGAAGATATATTTCTAGAGACCACATCTGGAAAAAAGGGTGAGTAAAAATGCTCAAAAAGAATAAGATTTCCTGATATAGTAGAAACATTTTGAAGCTGATGGATGAAAAGAGATTAAAATTTATTCCGTATATATACTGAGATGATTATGCTATGCTATGCTATGCTATGCTATGCTATGCTATGCTATGCTATGCTATGCTATGCGGGTATTTTCGTTCTAGCTGTATGACATCATTGCACTTAGTATTAAAAGAAAGTATTAATTTACAAAGGTTGGACCTAATTCATCCTTGTCAAATTTATAGTGCCTCCAAAATTCTTGCCAATATCATCTACACCGCAGCCAGAAAGGAGACAACCCCCTCAGAGGCGACATTCCATTGAGAAGGAAACGCCAACCAACGTACGGCAATTCTTGCCTCCCACAAAACAGAGCTCCAGATCACTTGTAAGTAATGTGGTAGATCATGTTCAGCGCTGGTTGAAGAGTCAAATATAGTCATTCCAGCATTGAGGGAAGAAAAGCAATATGTAAAAATTATGCTATGATGAATCCTTAGCTCAAAATTGTGAGACCTTGGAACAGCACTTGAATTTTATTTCCAATAAGTCAAGAGTAAGATCTAGAATGAAATAACTCTGAACTTTTAAATTCAGGTTTTGAATGTTGTGCCTACTTACATTCTTATATAAACTTGCTAACAAAATGAATATATCTCCACATAAAAGGTCTCTACATGGTACATGAAAATGAAATTTTTTGCTGCTGTTTTTGCAGACTTTTAATCTGTTACTGAAAGCTGAGATGTTTTTCTCCTATCATATGTTTAAAGAACCTAGAATGCCATGTGATCACTGAAGCTATTTGACGACCAAAAGAAAATACAGCACATTCAGTTAGTTGGCTTTATCTGAAAGCAGATTCCAATAGAACATAACTGTCATAAGGGAATAAAAGGCCAGTTTTAGGGTCTGGTACAATGCCAAATGCTTGCAATTTTATAAGTAAGATCCATTTTTCCTTGTTTAGGAAGAGAGGCATTATTCAGGTCTTCAGGTCAGTTGATAGACACTGATTGGTCTTAATTAGAGGTCTTCTTATTCTGCATTGGCTCAAGAGGTTCTGATTTGGATGCCAGTTCTTTAGCGCACATTACTGAGGTTAATGTGTATTACTCCGCTAACACATAGAGCAGAGCTGCTCTCTCAAGAAGAAATCAAGTGTCGTTTCGTCATATGATTCTAACTTGAATTCACTTTCTGATCTTAGATAACCTTAAACTCATTTGTCAGTTCAATGTGCAGAGTACAGTACAAAAATAATTATTTTCCAAGAAATAGCTTTAGGAGAATAATGGTTTTGTGCATGTGAGAATTCTTTGAAGTATAGCTATGCAGGCACTCAGAATACAGAAAAAACCCTGCAGCAATTGTTTTTATGTACAACATAAAAGTTGCTTTTTATGGAGACCAACTACAGATAAAGTCTTCTTCATTTCTGAGATATTTGGCATTTCTAATAGATGTGCTGTGAAAAATCCAGTCTTGTCTTAGTTTAAAGAAATCTTCATATATTCTTAGAAGTTGACTGTGGGTTTATAATTGATTTTGTTTTAGAAGTAATGCTATTTGACAATTATATTCTTATTTTAGCCTTTGAGATCAAACTTAGAGCAAGAACTCTGAATATAATATCCACTGACAAACTTAGAGTGAAGAATTTTTCAGAATTATGGCTTGGCACAAAATAAGCCACACGATAATATAAACTATTCTAATTATTCCTGGTGTCTTATCTCAAAAGCAGTTCAGACTAACAAATAAATAGATGGTTTCCCCCATGGTTTGTTTGGCATGGTCTCAGAAACAGTTTATTCTGGATTTCTTCATCTAGACTGCTGGACTTCTTCCTCTAGTCTGTTCTGAGGGCAACAAGTCAGAAGAGTCCTTCATTCAGAGAACAAAAGTGCACAGGTAGAGCTGCCCATCCACTAAGGCTCAGCTGGTGTTCAAGATAAGCCACTGAGAGCAATCAGAGCAGCATGCAGCACACATGGCATTTACCCTGCTAAATCAGAGTTTCTTGATACAGCTTACAAATAGAATCAACAAATAAAACGTTAATTTTAAAAATTAAAACTATAGAAGTTTCTGAATAAGAAATAATCTCATATTTTATATCTTGTACCATTGAAAGGAAAACCCCCTAATTCTGTTGTTGTTTGGTCTTATGAGAGTGAGGAGACTTCTTGTAAGTATTTATTTATTTATTTGTTTGTTTGTTTATTTATTTATTTATTTAAAACATTTTATATCCTGTTTTCCTTAAAAACAAGGCAGCCACAAATGTTAACAAAAATTAAAATAGTATGAACAAACAATCACAAAACAGCAGGATTTATCCAAACATCTATAGTAATTCGCCAAAATCCCCACAGCAGGAGACACTGTCTGAAATGAACATTCAGATTTCAGCATAGACTAAATGCTTCCTGAAAGGACCAGAATTTTCTAGTACCTGAACTTATATTGGTTCTAGACTTGATACCAACCCTCCCCCCCCAGCCACCAAACTTTTCATTGCAATATTCTGTAATTTTAAGCTTTATCTGCTCTTAGAAGTTCTCTGCAGATTTCCATTTGGAGGTGACACAAAGAATGTGAGGGCCTCAAATATGAAAGAAACTGAACCTTTTATTTATTTATCAATCAATCACATGTCTGTCCTGCCACAATTGTATAAAAACTTGTGGCAGCTCACAACATAATAATAATAATAATAATAATAATAATAATAATAATACCAATAAAATTGAAAATATAAAAAACCCAACAGTCAAAAATAGGCAAACCTACATTCCAGAAAGCATCTGGTGCCAGCCCCAAACATCCATTGGAAAAGTTCCATCTTAAATAGCTTCTGGAAGGCAACTAGAGTTGGGGCCAAAGTCTACATACCCATAATGCAGTCTGTTTAAGGCTTTAAAGCTTAAAACAGCACTTTGAACTGAACTAGAAATAATGAATAAATGCAAACCACATAGGACTGATGTAACCTTCTCCAAGTAGCTCCATATTTGCATTTTTCTATGCCAGTTGAGGTTTCCAGACGTTTTTCAAAGTCAGTGGGAAGAGGCAGTTAATTAATCCAGAAAAACCTTAAGCTATTTTCTTTTTAAAAAGTCAAATATAGGAGGGACAGCCGGTAGGTTTTGAATAAATAAATACACATTAAAGTTCACATATGGTATAGAATAATTTTCCTGTAACTTCTCATTTTGCTTTTGCATTTGTAAGGCAGAACACCATTTTCTTTTCATTTTTGATTTTTCCTTTCTTTTGTTACTGGAGATTTATACCCATGTAAATGAGTATTATGTAACATGAATGCGTCTGAGGTTCTTTAGAATATACATTAAAAAGCAATACTGTATTTTAAAAAGCAGTGAGCATTCTAGAATTGGAATATAGTTCTATGCCAGTAATTGCTGTGTTTGTTCATGAGGATGGATCATGCTATGCAAAATGGAGATTTAAAAAAAAATTATACTGTGTTGTTCATAAAGAAATATATACATACCTATTGTGCCTATGCTATCTTCTTAGGGAAATAACTGATAACTTTTCCTTTTGTTTTGTTTTGTTTTTAGGAAAAGCTATAAATATAATGTTTTATCAATTGTCATTGAGCAACTGTTTCAGTGTCATTTAGCAGTACTATTAAAGTTATATTTAAGAAAAGATATACCATTAATATTACAGTTCTAAGTCTACAGTTTCTCAAAGTATGAAGAAAATGGCATAGATACGTTCACATTTCCCTATGTTAAATTTAACATCCTCCTTCTTCATTCCTTCCCTCAGGATTGATGGAATGCCATTGCTTATCTTCTGGTGAAAGAAATCCCACCTTTAAATAATCTTCATTTCCACTGAAAAGAAAGTTGCATGGTTTCTTCCAGCAGAATTAGCAGGGAGCTTGTCTTGTGTCATATACTAAGTCTGGTTATACTGAGCTGGCTTCCTAATAAGCCAAAGAAATAAATATTGATGCTGGGGTTACATTATCTAAACTACTAGACAAATACTTTATTTATGTTTAGCCTTCCCTTTTCTACTTCCCATCTAATGTTCAGGTTCCAAGGAAGACACTTTTTTCAACCATACATACAGCTTCTCAGCTTAGTTCTCATCCTTTTGATGCAGTTTTGTTTGGAATGGCAAGAACTGGGTATTATCTATGTGAAAGAGTTTTTAACAAGTGGAAACCCTCAAAGGTTTGCCTCATACTGCAAGCTTTGTAAATCTGTCCTATAAATCTTTCCCTTCCATCAAGATGGCAAGAGATTCCTAAGCTGTGGCAAGGCATTAACAGTTTAGGATTTCACTGGATTCTGATTAAAATTGATTTCAGTGGCTGCAGGGCTCTTTTGTGCATGCATAGATTCTCTGATCAATTTGCCTGGAAGTAGAAATTACCTGTGAAAGATAATCAGACTAAAAATATAACATCAGAAGTTTATTAGAGGAGGAGCTAGAGGAGGAGCTTTTAGGATCTTAACTTTGTGGAACTTAAAAAGCAAATATCAGGAGTAGAGAAATAATTTAGAAAAAAATAATGAATTTAATCTCATAAAATTATATGTGTCAATTTTGGCCAAGTTTTCACAGTTATAAATTAATCTTTCATTGTGTATTCATATACAGGTAAATGCATATGCCAAACATTTAAGGAAATCTTAAATACAAATTAGCATTTACAATTAAGAACATGTATGAGTTCATGTCAATGTATTTGAACATCACTCAACATTTTTACACAAATTAGTGCATTTTTCTCAGTGGATTTGAACTGAAAGAAACAAATAGTTTGAGCTTTATCATTATAAAGACTTTTATTTCACGAGAGTGTTCGCATGCATATATCTATTATGTTTTATTTAATAGAAGTAATTCTTACGTTAGCTTTCTGTAGTTGGCAATGTAAGAATAAACTAGTTCGGAAGTTGTCTGAGAATTTTAGCTTTGTAAAGTACTGTATGCATCCCAGTGGCAGGACACAGCAGCTAACTGAATTGCCTCTGATGAAAAAGAAACATCAGTACAGCTGCATCAGCAATGATCTTAGCCTTTTATCCACAACAGAGTAATGGTTTAGAAGAAAAGGCATAGCAACCATGCCACCTAATAGTCTTTGAGATTGGACTAGTTTCTAAGGAATTACTCTCTATTCTTGTTAAATGTAAAATTCTAGTAGTACTTCAAAATGGGTTTAAGGTACATCCAGAGTGGATGAATCCTGGGTGGCTTCATGCATCTGGACTTTAAGCATATTTCTACTAAATCTTTGATATAGTAATAATCCATATTTAAACCTTCACTTATACTAAAATACTGAACTCATCTTACCCTTAGAAATAGCAGTAGAATACTGAATAGTTTTCACTAAATATGATAGCTAATAGTTGATGGGAAAGGTTTAAAGGCACAAATTACAGGAATTTCTCATGGGCAGAACCCTCTTCCCATCAGTGAAGATCATGCTGAAGTCATGATGGTGCTCCAATACATTTTTACGTGCATTTTATTTCAGACTGAAAAGGCAACACTGCAAGCAGATTACATTATTCTAAGATCTATTTTAAATACATGATCAATAGCTAGAACTAAATTGTGTAATGGGCTATTAACACAAAAAAGAGTTAAATGACCAGAATCCAAAAAGCTGATACATCTTGTCTGAGATGGCCGGCTATAGAAATTGAATTAAATCAATCAATCAATCTCACTCAGAAGTTTTTTTAAATAGTTGGCCCACTCTCTACGCTTGTCATGATGTGAAATACTTGTGAGACTGTTTTCTATTTTAAAACAGTTGACCATGCAGAAATTATGTTGCTTTCTAGAAAAACAAGACAACAGTGCCTTTGGAGGTAGTTTCCCGATTCTGATGATTCTAGCCAGTATTACCAGAAATGCACGAAGTGATTCATTGAAGATATAAACCTGTGTGGTGTTACTTGCATGTAGGTCGCTCGCTTTTTGAAACAAGAGTGTCATTATCACGTATCCACTTTCTGTAACATCCACACACTGAGCACATTTGTCTTCAAAGGGGTGACATGAATGTTGGGATCTCTTTGCAAACAAATATGCTCAATGTGTGGACATGTGAGGAACACTGGGAATAGTTTTAAAAGAACAGCCCTGCTTTTCTTTCAATAAGAGAACAACACTCTAGGAACATTCTATTATTCCCATTATTCAAAAATAATGAATCAGTGAGGCTATACTGAGAAGAACATGATGAAACATTTTCTTCAAGTTTTAAAGAGGTTTTGTCCCTTTCCAAGTTAACATCACAATATTTATCATGTGCTTTTCCTGGGTTGTGTGTTATATTCTGAGAATGCAGAGCCAAACATTTCTAAAAAATTCAGTGGCATTTAAACTGATAGCTGTTTATGCCACATGAAATTTTGTTTAATATTGTCGTGAGTTCCTAATCCAGCAAATAATGGATTCTCTGTAATGTCTTGCTAATTTTGCTGTATTCCATTGATTTGGGAGACATAAAAAGAGTTTTCCTCTCAGAATTGTACACTTCATTGCATGTAATCTTCATGAAAGTGGGATAAATTATGATGGAACTGGTAATCCTAAATGCTTCTGTTAGCAAATTTTACCTGGATTATTCCATGAATCAGTTTCAATTAAAAGATTTTCTTTGTAATGCAAGGTATATATCAGTATCTCCTATTTTATTCTCAGAATAATTCAATATCTTTTATTTGTCTAATGCTGTATTACTATTTAGTTGTCCTTGTGTAACTTTTTAAATACTAAAATTATGAAATATAGTTTTTCTTCTTTTGATCATACTTCTTTCGTATTTTCAAGAAAGGTTTTTTATGACGGCAAGAATAGAATAATACAATTCTCTACTGTTTATTATAGTGAAGGACAGAACAGTAGAGCATAGTAAGAAAATAATATACCATATTTCATAGTAATAGCTTTTATCCATTATAAAAATGATACTATTTCAGTTCTCCAGTGTAATATGTAATAAGAAATTAGTAAAAAGCATTAATTGATACTTTAATAGTTTACTCCAGATAATAAAGCCCAAAGGACAAAAGAGAAGAGCTGAGTTGACCAATAAATGTACATTTGACAGAGAGCACCAATTTAGCTTTACTCTCACATGCTCTCTATATAGTAAATGTTTCCAAACATGACTTCTCATTTTCACACTGAAATTATAGATGCACACTTTTCTTTAAAAAAGTCATATTTGTAAGACACCCCCCCCCCAAAAAGGCTGTGAATTTATAATTAGGTGATATTTTAATCATACATAGAAGAAATTAAGAAGCTAGTAATTTCTCAGTGATGCCATTATTTGCATAGACTTGATTCAGTTATCTACTTACTCATGAAAGTTATTTGGCAAATATGGACCATCTTGTAGTTTGGGAGAAACACCATTGGGAAATAGATAAGGAAGGGACTTGTGCCTCCTCATATTCTATATTAAAGACTAAGTATAATCCACCTTTATTAATGAAATATTTTATATAAACTTTTCCTGTGTATATATGGCATTGGTGTTTTAAACAAAGTTATGAAACAAGCAACAAAAGGCAAGCTGTCACCTATTTAATAATTATCAATAAGGAGGAAGGACAATGACATTTCTTTGGAGAGATTTCATTGATCTGCACTGCAACAGCCACGTGCATTTTAGTATCAGCGATTGAGCAAGGCCTTCAGATGTGGATTGGTTCATACAAAGGCAGTAGTCCTTCAAATATTTTAGTGGCAAACCATTCTGGATTACAGAGCATCAACATTTAATATAAAGAATCCTACCATCATATTCATTGATTTGTTTCTGTGTAATATACCATATCAAACCATAACATATCAACCTTTAAATATAGTCTTGGAGCCAGTGACACTGTAAAGCAATTAATATTTTAAAATAAGCTAGATAATTCTGTAAAAACTGAAAAGCAAAAGATAAAAAGTTATAAATGCCTATAAAATATGAAGACATTTACAGATGCTGGGGGGAAATAGATTTTTTTTCTTTCCAGTTTGATACTGAGGATAATAAAGTATAGCAAGCTGCACTAAATCTTGGCTCTCCAAGTCATCTTCAGTATGAATTTGTTAATTATAGAAAAGGCACAATTTGTAGGCATCTTGAGCAGGATGAAGTTTCTGTCTGAGGTCCATTTTTAGATAGGTAAGACAGCTATTCTTTAAAATACAGTGGCTCTGGTATGCTCTCTTACCAGTTCTGCATTATAATTTTCTTCTGAAATGAAAGACAGAATTATAACCTACTTAAAATAATGTATCTACATTGTATATGTTGGTCTGTTAGTTGGATTTTGCAGCATTGTGCTGCATTTATTGTGTGAATTTGAACCATTTTTCATAACAGCTATCAGTAACATAGATTTGATGAATGTCCTAGTTCATTGGCAGACTACTGATTATTTTCCTCTCACTCCCAGCTTTATAAGTCATTCTCTGGCAGGGTAAAAATAAGATTAACATGTCATTTTCTGTAATTTGCAAACCAAATTATTTGCAAAATATGATTTAGCAGGCTATGGCAAGAATTCTGTCTTTCAGTAAGATCTGTTCAATCTATGAAAGAGCTGAATTGGGGATGTGCATTTTTATTCCGTGGTATCAACAATTCCAATGATTTACTCAATTCACTAGTAACCTGCTATGGAGCTTTAGTATGGAAAAAAAAGCTCTATATACTACTTCCTATCACAAATTGTAATGGATTGATATTCTTGCTAATAGCATGAGTATAAAGGTGTACAAAATTGTAACTGTAATTGTTTAAATATTCTATAAAGAAACAAATACATGTAATTGCAATGAAAAGAATACCACAGAATAAAGATTTCTTTTGGATTGGATTACTTACCATTTCTTCGGCTCCTCTAGGCATCATAAAGTATCAAAGACGCCATCATAGTGATTGGTTTAGCAAACATCAAAGGGATTTTCGGGGACAACTTCTTTAGGCTGCATATCTGAAGTCTTTGCTATTTTGATGCCTGTGGATCTATAAATGTTCTCCACTGTTGATGGTAAAATCTATTTCCTTTGAAATTACTAACCAGGTGGCTGGTTCTTTACATGGATAGCTGGGAAATGCTATGAGAAAGACAGTTGAAAAGCATTTTTTTGCTTTCAGGAGGAGTTTTGTTACCCAGTAGAATGCCTGGCTCTCACAGTGGAAGAAGTAATGCATATCCGTCAAGTGCTGGTAAAGGCAGAACTAGAGAAGTACCAACAATACAAAGATGTCTATACTGCCCTAAAGAAGGGAAAGGTATGGCTAATTGTGTTGATTTTCTGGAGATATGGATAGTGGAGTTTGGAGAAGAAATTCAGTCAAATGTTATTAGAAATCTTAAAAAATGTAAATTTAGAAAAGTCTCAAGCCACTTAGAAATATTCTAAATTTATTGTTTAAGTGAAATAAATAGTTACCTTTATTAATGCACTGTTTCTTGTATACATACACAGGAAGTTAAAACTTGCAGAGATAGACTCAAATATTTCAGGCTGTAAACCTGTGCAGAAGGAAAAGGCTAGGTGTATAGATCCAGGCTTATTCTTCTGAAAATAGAAGAGCTCCTTCTGTTCACAAAAGTCCAGTAGAAATGTTTAAAAGGGGTCAGGACACTGATTTTTGCAAATTTTATCTGGAACATCCACTGTTACTTCTCATCTTGTTTTGGACATCACTCAACCTTCTGGAGTAGCTTTATAGAAAGCACTGGGCAGGAACCACAGAGGAAAGAAGCAAGAATCAGTATAAATCACCACCTTGACCTTCTCAAGTGCCAATAAAATTCTACTGAACATAAGTCTGAATCCAGTTCTTGAACTCAGTGATAGTTATTCTTTGTCAGCATGCTCCTATGTTTCTGCTGTCAGAATGCTTAATATAGAAGATATGTCAGTTAGCAAGGGATTATAGAAACATTTAATGAGGATTTCATAAAGAGTGAGGAAACTACTTATTTTAACAAATTTAATTACAGTGATTAAATTAATGAAGTGTACAACTAATTCTTGATTAGACAATGTAGCTTTGCTGAGGTTCTTGTACAGACATAATGGTCTGTCTTATTCCCAATTTTTGTAGCTCTGTTTTTGTTGCCGCACAAGAAGATTTTCTTTCTTCACTTGGTCCTATACTTGTCAGTTTTGTAAAAGGTAAGCACATGGCTACCATTGAAAACTGCTGAATAATACAGTGATAGGAATGAAGTACTTATTAAACCATTTTTAAAGAATTTATTGTTATTGTTTTTGCATATGGAAGGAAGGAGGAAGGGTGATTTTTGGAGAGTAAAGGAGAAATTGAAGAGTTTAAAGATTTGCACTTTTATAAACTCAAGTGGAAACCTTTGCAGTTAATAATGCTGATTATGGAGTATGATAAACATGCTAGGTAATATAAAAGAGGCTGAGTAGTTAGTGAGAGACAATGTATTTAGATTTCATCAAGATCACTTTGTTAAGAGCAGGAAATAGATTAATAGTCTTGGTTTCATAAGCCTACACAGAAATTTGCATGCATGATATGTACTGTAATAACATAAGGCCATAAATACTACTATAGATTCATTGCTATATTGCTCGGAAGACTAACATTCCTCTGAGTTTCTCATAAGACGCATTTAAAATGTGCTTTCTGCATTTCTGAAGTAAAGGTCTGCTGTAGAGTCTCAAGCAAAATCTTTGGCCAGTTTCTAAATTTTCTTACAAGTATAGAATTGCAGCAAATTTTTGTTCATTCCATTTCTGGTTTTAGATTGTAAAATATTGACTAAAATCTGTAAGGCGTGTTTCTATTTGAAACATGCCCACTTTGATTTCTGAGATATTTCATCTTTACTTCCAAATAGTTTCTACAAATTAAAACACCTTAGTGAAGCAGATTAGGTTTGAATATGAGAAGTAGCAACCCAAGTGGGAAGTTGGGTCAGATCTAGCTTGAGCACACAAGATTCTGTTCCCAGTTCCAGTCTTCCAGCCTTCATCTGTGTTTGTTATTTACGCTAAAAATGAAATAACCAGTGAAATTCAAAAATAGTATATAACTGTTGAAATATTTTCATAAGAAAAATGCAATATAGATTTCAGAGGCAATTTTTCTTTGTACTAAGAAAGCCACATCTTTTTTTTTTCTTTTATAGGCCTGTGTGTTCACAGTGCTGTAAAAAAGTAAGTTTAGAAACGACTGTCTAAAAAATCTGTTTATTAAATTGTTTCTATTTATTTAAATATTTCATTTTTATATGATAGTTTTACATTCTGCCTTCCCTTTAGGAACTTAAGACAGTATATATAGTATTCCGTCTCCAATTTTATCCCTAAAGAAACATAAGAGGTGGTTTTGAATTAGATATTGTAAGTGGGCAAATGTCATGCAGTGAACTTCAATGACTGGTTGTGAATATGAGAGTCTGCACTTGCTTTCAGAATATTATACTTAGCAGATAGTTGAAAACTAAGTTTCATAAAGTCAGTATTATTGAGAATATATTGAAGTAAGCTGCTATAAATGGTACGGCATTTGCAGTCTCAGGGCAATTATATCTCACTATTATTCACTTGCTTTTACAACAGATGCGCCTACCGTCAAAGCCATATTCCACCCTTCCAATTTTTTCCCTGGGACCTTCTGCTTTGCAGAAAGGAGAAAGCTTTATGAGGCCTGATAAACCTTCCATCAGCCATCACAGGTCACTGAAGGGCATACCAAGGTAATTTATGCTTATGATTAATAATGGGAGAATGAGAGAGAGAGAGAGGTTCATTTATTCATTAGTTTATTTCATTTTTATTCTTTCCAAACTAATGGGATGTTCATACAACTCAATCAAATTAGTGGTGGAGAAGAAGCTAGAGATTTTGACTTCAAAATAGCTGGATTTAATCAGAGGCTGTGGAGAAAGATTTCAGATAAATTCTCCCCATGGAATTTCTCTTCCCCCTATGGAGAAGACAATTGGTCAGTCACTTGAAACGTTCCCAGCACCTCAGTTCTAAGCCTCCTTCCATCTCCTTTCTAGTCACATGACCCAGTGTAATGCTATTTCTAAGGGGTGAAAAAGAATTCTAGAAGTCATGCTCTAAATGTCTTCCCTACCTTAAAACAAAATATATTTTAACAAACTTCTAGGCAGGTCTCAAAGGACAGCCCCCCCCCTTTCCTGTTAACACCTTCCAGAATAACATTCTGTGAAGCACAAGAAAAAGAAGACAGTCAACCAACACATTCTTCTTGGAAAGATTTGTGCATATATAAACCTTTTTGAATCTTGGCTTGTATATTTGAAATCTAAACCCCTCTGCCTGACACCATCATCTCATATACATTGAGACTCCTGAGTTCTGCCTTGTCTAGTTAGTCCTGTATTTGAAACAGGTAGCATTTCTGAAAACACTACTGTGACAGTCCTGGATTACAGTCTGCTACTAGCAACCTAAACTTAAGACTGTCACACTGTATTTCCCTATATTATTGGTGCCAACATACACCATGACCATTGTTCCTCCTCAGCACTGTCTAGCAATTTACATCTAGATGACTCATGATGCCTAGATGCCTTTGTCCCAAATAGGTAAGTCAAGATATGATCTATATGTCAAGCCTCACACAGCTGGGTAAGCTCAGGGAAGCTTAAAGTGTCTTTAATGCTAGTATTAGGAGTAAATACACAATTTTTGGAAACTGCAGTAGTTTCCAAGCCTCATTGGTGAGTTCATTAAGGTAGTCAGTTGAAATATTTTTAATTGTTTCTTGCCATCTAGATTGGATTGCTGTTTATGAGCTACCAACAAACTCTCTTATCTTTTGGTTATGTCTAATATTCCTGCCTCTCCAATCTGTCACACTACATGTCTGTCAGAAACCCATCTGTCTTACACCCCACAGGAGTCTTCTTAGTTGAAGAGGAAATGGGTTCCTCACCCAAGGATTGTGTCTCTCCAGTGGGAACATCTACCTTATTCTTGAAATGATGTCCTCCTTCCCTAAGACCCTCAGCAAGAGGGTTGCTCTGGAAGTAGGACAATGCTATTACATCCCAGAATAATTTGTCTACATATTCTGTAGCTATCCAAGCATCTCCAGTTCAGCCATCTTGATTTTAAGGGAACAGACTTGCGTCCTGAGTGCCATGAGCTCATTGCACTGAGCGCAAATCCATGCCTTATTTCTAACAGGCAAATAGTCATATATTTCACACTCTGTGCAATCAGCTGGAAAATACCCCTTCCTTGGTTGGCTTTCTACCTTCCTTACATGTGATTGTGATGTGACTTTGAGAACTATCAGGTTAAATTAAGAATGTAATCTTTTGTACCTCTTTCAGCCTGTTTTAACATGTAATTAATTTCTGTTTTAGTAAAAAGAAAGAAAATATACTTTTCCTACTGTATGGAATAACAAGGGTAGCTTCCATTCAACAGGTCTTATACAAGTTGACCCAAAGGTGTTTAGGGAATTAGTAAGAACGTCACCAGACCTGCAATCCTACACGGCATGATTTAAGACAAAATACTGTGTATTTAAGACTCAAAGAGAATTTTTAAAACTCCAAGCATGTCTGGTAAACTTTTATGCTAGTAGCATGATGAGAATGGAAGCATAGAAGGGAATTTTTTAATACAGAGCAATTGCTTGAGTTATATTCTACAGCTACATCTTGTTTTCCATTAGTTAAATTTGCATTTTTCCTCTCTTGAATATATTTACTGGAATACTTTCTTGCCTCTGAAAACTTCTACCATAGTACATGTGTTAGTCTTTCTTTTCTTTTTTTGGCAAGCAGATTTTTTTCTGAGCATTAAATGTTCTGATTATATAAAATAGGTTATTTTTATGCTGTTTAAAGCAAAAGGAGAGACTTTTTCAAACTTCACTTGCTATTAAAATTATAACATTTTGTTATAATTATGTTATATAATTAAAATTATAACATTTTGTTATGATTTGGTTTGCAAAAGTACTTTTCTCTATGTTGCTTGTAAAAGTCTTTTAAAAGTACAAGTGCCTTCACAAATACTGGCCATGTGACATAATCATTGGTAATAATCATTATTAATACAGATTTATATTAATAGATTTGTATTAATAACCGGGAGAGCCAGTTTGGTGTAGTGGTTAAGGCACTGGGCTAGAGACCAGGAAACTCTGATTTCTAGTCCCACCTTTGGCACAAGCCAGCTGGGTGACCCTGGGCCAGTCACTCTCTCTCTGCCCTAGGAAGCAGGCAATGACAAACCACTTCCAAAAAATCTTGCCAAGAAAACTGCAGGGACTTGTCCAAGCAGTTCCCAGCAGTCAACACTGACTCGAAGGAGAAGCAACAAATAAATAACTGGCCGTAAGAAATTCAGGTGACTTATGTAGTTTCTTCTTTCTCTTTACTCAATATGTTAAGAACTGGAAAAACTTGAAAAGACTTCTGAAATTCTTTAGAACAATTGGAAAGTTGAATGATACTAATAAGATCAGAATTGTTCCTTTATTTTTAGGTTGTCCTCAAAGTCAAAGTCTGTAGATAAACCAAGTGAAGAAGCACTCTTTCCAAAAGAACTCATGGAGGACTGGAGCACCATGGAGGTGTGTGTGGACTGCAAGAAATTCATTTCGGAAATCATTAATTCAAGCCGCCGTAGCCTCTCTCTGGCTAACAAACGAGCCAGACTAAAAAGGAAAACACAGTCATTCTACATGTCATCTCTGGGCACTTCAGAATACTGTCCTTCTGAGAGGACTATCAATGAAATCTGAGTCTTGTGCCTTTCTTTTGCTTGGTCTTCATGAGATCCTGAGAAAACTCATTAAAACCAGAATGTCTTTCTTTCTTTTGTCCTACTTGACCGTTTACATTTGCATTAGCTTACTGGTTTCACTGCTCTTTATAATTTACAAAAAGAATCAGAAATTGGTCTACACAGCAGGCCAGCTAATAAACTTGTTTTACTGGAGGAAAGCAACTATACTAGATTGTTGTCTATTTGTATATGTACAGTACAATGTACAAAGAAAGTCTTTACTTGTATTTTTCCCCATTTTCCCTTAATCGTTTTTAAGATGAGTGATAATATAGATAGATAGATAGATCTAAAGAAAAACTAGGTGATGGTGTTAGTAGTACATTTGTAAGCATTAAACCATATTGGCATTTACTACCAATTAAATATTATTCATATTTTGGTATCCGAGGTACCTAGTCCCATATTGTACAGAACTTAATGTCTTATAGCACAAGATTAAGAAGGATTTGCTAATGTGCTTGAAATGGTTGATCAACCCATACTGTCTCGGACCTAGTATAAAATATTGAATAAGCTGGAAGCCTGAATGGGTAATTTTTTTCCTGCAGCTTCTACTATACTATAATAAAATTAGTGTGTTCAAAGTAATAATATTTTTTTCCTATCTGGAATGTAGTCTGAATATTAGTGGTAGTGTTACCCATAGCTTTTATAAATAAAACAAAACCCTGTATAGAGAGAGAATGCAATATAAGTCCAGTTTTTAATATTAATGAACTTTTGTAAACTAAATGTTCTCTGGGCAATAATCCTGAGAAAGTAAGATAAATATGTATATTTGTTTTATAGAGCAATACATAAGTACTGCTGTAACTAAGAATATGGGAGCATGTCCATTATTAACCCCATTTCTACAGGGGTATGTATCTTGGCTGTAAAGATTTTTTTTCCTGGAAAAATTTGGGACAATGGTGTCTCAGATTAACAAGTGTTTTTGTTTCCTTTTTTTTCAAAAGGTTGGAGAAACACTATTTGAATGTTTTCAAGTTAAAATATTACTGAACATCACATTTTTGCACTCTTTTGTAGTCAGATTTTTTAAACAAAACTGGCGCTTAGTATGGAATCGGATTATTTTTATATTTATAGCGGCCCAGTTAAACTGTTTGCAGATCATCTGTGGATAGGAACAATAACTCTTCTATGTTTTAATGCCCTAGCCTATGTTTAGAATCAAAGTAAGATATGGAGAAAAGGTGTTTGCATTTTCATTTTTGTATTGTAAAGGGAATGAGTGACACCTCAGTTCACTTCCAAAATAGGCAGAATTTCCTTATACGCAATTACTAACCAGACATTTATTTATTAAATATATTATCAAAATATTATTCTGTCACCTTAACCCTTGACCCTTAATATTTTGATATTCCTTGAATACCAAAACCCAGATCCTATACTGACTGTTCTACTACCTAACTGAAATTATGATTGTTAAATTAAAGATCTAAGGATCACAACTTAAATTAGTCAGTTTTTATAATGAGTATTTGGCTCCCATAAAGGCTATCACAACAAATTCTAGATGGCAAACATCTTGTGATGAACTAACTATATAAAAAAGTAACATTAGAAATAAGAGTCAGCAATCTTTTCAGGTAAGAGGCCTGTTTATGTAATATCCCAAACACCCAAATATTAAATACATTAAGAATAATTTTAGAAAATTAAATAGCTAAAATCTCATGCTTAACACAAGAAATCTTGAAAAATCTGATGATCTTACAAGATCATAGACATTTGAAATTTATTGAAAACTATGTTTTGGAGGTCAGTGACAACATGGGTGATGACCAACAGTTTCCCAGGTAATTAGTAATCATTTCCATTAATCAGGAAATTATCTGTCTTAGGTTGTTTGCTCTCTTTAACTTATAAAATCCACACATTTTTTCATATAACATGAAAGCAAAGTATCATTATATCATCAAATTGGTGGTCCTATTACCCTGTATTACCCAGAATCTTTTCATGTTGTACACTCTCCTTCAGTGCAGCTGGTCTGCTAGTCTCCTGTCTCACTTAGTTCTCATTCCAAAATAAAATAGTTTTTTTTTTTCTACAGAAATAGTCAACCATCTTTTCAAATCTAGGCTAGAATATTCTGTCACTACTTTTTATTAAATCATCATGAAAAACATTTTCCATGGTTTTCACATTTTTTTGTGTGTTTCTGCGGAGCCAAGGGAAACACAAAGAATTGAGTATCATATAAATTTATAAATTTATTTCCTGACAAAGTATTTATCAATTCTGGTATGTAAGATTACCTGAGGTTGTTAGGACTACAGATAGTTGTCTCCATACATTTGATGTACTAATGAAATGAATGAATTAAAGATTTTGTATTGGGCTCCACAAAAGGAACAAATCACATCAACAGAGAATAGCAATGTATAAAATTGCAATAAAACAGCTTGCTTTGGTCCACTGAAACAATCATTGATTGAATAGTCAATACAGTCAGTATATAGACAAGGATTACCAATTTGTATTGAAAAATGATTTACCCTAAAATTCCATACCTCAAGCTGAAAAGTCAGTAGGTAGTTTTAATATTTTCTCTAGTTCTGAACCTTTACCATCTCTGTCATAATTACTTTATGCTTGCATTCACAATATAAATGTCAGAATTAATTGATTTAAATAGCTTATTTCTGTGACTGCAAAGCCTACTGAAGAAGAAACATTATAAATTAAAACCTATTATTTCCTTTCCCCATTTTTCTTTATCTATCTGCTTATACCCATTTGTAAGTTATCCCTCAGGGACTGCTTATCAGTATATGGTGTGTAATTCAAAACCAGGTCCAGTGTAAGGTCTCATAAATTAAGAACCAAACCCATTCTTAGGAACATTGACTGGAATTTTATTAAACTGAGACTCTCTTCTTTACCTCAATAATTTGTAATTGAAACCCAAGTTTCTTTGTTCTTTATGAATCTGAACATTGTTAGGACCGCAGATAGTTGTCTACGTACGTTTGATGTACTAATGAAATGAGTGAATTAAAGATTTTTTTTTAGAAAACTAGATTACAAATTCCAGTGTTCACTGTGACCACTGCAGACTAACTTACAAATTGGTATAAGCAAAAAAGATAAAGAAAAAATGGAAAGGGAAAGCAGTAGTTGCTACAGTGGCAGTCATAACTGAAGATTAAAAATGCAAAATAAAATGCAGAGTTCTGTGAATGTTTGCTCATTACTAAATGTATTTAGGCCTGCAAACGTTATGACTACTTTGAGGGTGGCTCAAGAATATTGTTGCATGTAACTTATATATTTATTTGGAACAATATCATGTTTTCTCTGGCTCACTTTCTTTCCATAATATTATAGTTAGTTCAACTATAAACTAAAGCTGATCATATACTATGTATCTGGCAGAGAATCTGCAGAACTTTGTATGTTTGCATTGTGTAGATTTTCTTAAGAACCCTTTCTTAATTTTTTTTATATTCCAAGGTGTCACAAATGCAAATTATGTAGTACTGCCTGTGATATATGACTGGTGAAGAACTCGGGTTACGTTAGTATTCTCCTGTACGTTTTTATGCTTTTTCAGGATCATGGGCACAATCTGCTGAAATATGTAAGTAATTCTTGGGCACAAGCAAAACCCTTTGTAGTCAGCCAAACCACCTGACTCTTCCAGCCGCTTGGCTGCTCTGAAGGCTTTCGCTGTTGGTCTCTGCGTTAGAAAAAGTTTTCAGAATAGCTATCCTGAGCCTTACAGAGAACATGGCTGCTTCAGTGTAGAAGGGTATTTAGCTTGCACCTGTCCACTTTGTGAAGTCAATTGTTCTTTTAATGCTTTGCACAAATGTTGTGTGCCTAATTGGTTTGAGAATACAACAAAGCTGCTCCACAAGCCAAGTTGTCCATTATTGCATGCTTTCAAAAGAAAACTACACTGCGGGAGGGAAAAATGAAATAAAAGACCTAGATACTGTACTGATTCTTAAAGCACATCCTATCATCGCATGGTATGCGTAAAAGTTAAATGAACTTGCTAAAAAATTATTTGCAAGTTACATATTTTGTTTGCAATCCTATGGCTCCATAGAATTAGTCAGCTTTCCCCTTTCCTGTTTCCAATTATAGCTCTTGAGAGCACAAAATGAGATCATCACTAAACTTATATCTAGCAGCCACCACACCTACAAACCAAGTAAGAGGGTTAGATCAACTCTGGGGTGGGTCTGAATCCCATCCTACCACTCACTAGGAAGAAATGGACAAGCAAATGGCTTTTTGCTGTTCCATGCTGTCTGCCACCAGCGAAATGTAGGAAACCTTGTACCACAATGCTTTGATCTGCACTGCTAAGCTTCAAAACCTATTGCCATGTATAGAACTGTACACTTTTTAAAAATGCATGAACATTATGAGAAATAATTAAAATACAGGCTTGTTTTGACTATGGATTCAGAACTCCTTGATTTGGATGAATCCATAGGGAAAAGCCACATATACACAGTACAATTCTTTTTGTCAATGTGTGTTTCTCAAAATCTGCTCTGGAGAACTGGGGATATCCTGAACATTTAATGAAATGGTACTGAAAGCTCCTGGAGAAATTGGCTAGTCAGCTTTCCACCAGCAAGAGCCCTGTGCTGGAATCTGCTGCTTTCCGTCGAGGAAAATAATTCTTTCTTTGTATAGAGAGGACTCACATTTTAGATTTTGTAGAGAGATGATTCACATTTTAGACTTTGCTGTCCAACAGTTCCTAACTGAAGACTTATTTTTCTGCACTCCATACCTGAAGATGTTGCAGAAAAGCTTTGTAGTCGTGTATTTGTAGGAAAAATATTGTATGTTTTTTTCTTCAAATGACTTTTTCGGTTTTAAATCTTGCTTTCTGAAAGGGCTGTGCTCACCTGAAAACCCATCTAGGTCAAAGATAGAAGATAAATCATAATACAGTAAAATTAAAAAGAGTAACAAATGAAAATCAAAGTCATGAAGGATTATTGGAGAAAGCTGAGCTTACTGGAGCTGGATTTAAGACACAGAGTAAAGCCACTGTCTGCTAAAGTAATGTTTTAGAAATGATAAGGCTTCATCCCATACCCAGAAAGTAACTGTTGCTTCAGTGATGACTTACACAGCCGTTATCTTTCACTATAAATGGGGAAACAGTGGTAATGAAAGAAGTTTATCTAGATTTGCTCTCGGCAACTGGACAATATATTTGGGGAAGCATGCCGATAACTCTTTTCTTCTTGGCTTTTTCCCACTGCTATCTTTTAATAGTTGGTTTTAAAAAAGAAACGCAGATCACCAAAAGTCTGGATGCTTACAAGGAAAAAAAATGCACACTTGTTTAGTTTTCTTTATTGTGTTTCTGAACCTACAATGGTATCTGGCAATGATTTGAGAAGGAAGCACAACCGTAAGCTCTTCAGGTCTACCTTCTTATGTCACCGTGCTGGCTACCCTGATGGATCAGAATAACCATTTGTAAATGAAAAAGGCAGTAATTCTTTTTCTGCTTGTTTTCCTGTCACATAATACTGACCTGCAGCTTATACATTATTAAACTCATCTAAAGTTGCGATGTTGTCGTTGTTGCTTCATCAGCTAAACAAAATTTTCTATTGTACGCACAGGCACAAAAACAACTCTACACACATTTAAAAAATGTTATAATCTAGGACTTTTTTTTACAAATTAAGGTTATATTTCCGGGACTGTTACAGAATAAAACTCAAGAGACAATTCAATAATCACTCTTTTGGTCTGAATTGTAATTTCAATTAACATTTTTCATACACAAAACTCAGCACAAGTTCATATATAACACAGGCTTTCATACAGTTTCAAGTACAACTCTACATCTATTTATATATATCCTTTGTTTTCAGTAATACTGTACTTATTTGCCATGTATGGTTTTTAGCTTAGGAAAAAACAAGATTAATAAAAGCAGGAAAATAAAACTAATCTTGTAAATACAAACACCATTCTATGTACCTCTGTTGGTTTAGCTTCAGTGTTTTGTATCATAGGTCTGACAAAATTAATGAACATAAGCACTCCTAACTATTGAGTTTAGTGATTTGTTCTAAACATTTGCTAGTACTATTTTTAGTTTTTAGGACTCAGCACTGTATGATTATCCTGTTCAACAATTGACATAAGAACAGATTATGCTTTCCTAAAGAAAAACAAGACCGGTTTCCATCTCTAGGTGGGTCATATTATTTATAATTTCAGATGTCCATGGTGTTTAGTATTTGAGATCAAATGATTCTCTACTTTGTAAAGTTCACAATCCAAACACAAAATGATGAAGACAGAACAGAGAGCCTTAATGCTCCCCCTCACTCTAGTAATATGTTATTTGAAAAGTAATTTAAATGTTTTCAAATAATTAGTCTGCTTATCTCCATTAAAATCAAGACTTCTTTATTCTAGGAAGTGAACCCCATTGTCAGGGAAGACAGCTTTTTTTTTTATTTTAATAGCCAAGTAAAGTAGAAAATGAAATTTACACAGATGTCTGTGGTTATGATGGTATAAACAGTTGCACCTACTCCAAATACTTCTGCTACATCTTTTGAAGATACATAGCCTTTGTCTTCATTTATACTGAGGGACTTTTAAATGCAAACAAAAATATGTGCAGATAGAGAAGAGGTTACAAGACCAATTAAGGACCAGGTGGATTCATGGACAATATGAACCAACTGTTTAACGTTGGCAGATAATGGACTCCAAAAGACACCTGCATATGGTCACTATTACCTGCTGGAAGTGGCACAGAGCATACATGCTAGATTTCTTCAGTTAAGAGGCTGAAAATACAACTTTAAGACTATTATTTTCTTTGCCAATTCTTTTCTTGATATAATTTACACTGATAGTGCATGAGACAGTGTGAAGTTGGATGTTAGTCATATTTTGCTTTTCCTCTTAATAAGGGGTTTCATTCAGCAGGGTTCACAGGAAATGTCCAAATTGGCAAGACTGCGACGCTGTATCCACCATCTTGCACATTCTGACATTACAGAGCCTGTTGGTTTCATTCATACATAAGAAATTATGGCAAATATTCCCGCCATTAGTGTTGCTTCCCTCTCAATTATACTGTAATGCCACCAAATGAATGGGGAAGTGCAAAATGGTATCATAGATACTATAGACTCAAAAAGTCTCAGCAACAGTCTGCTTTATAGAGAGAATCAATCTAGCAGGAATATGGATATGGAATAGGACAGTAGTTTTCCTAGTAAAGGTACATTTCAGTTTTTTTGTGTTTCTCTGAAACAAATAGTTTTTAAAAATCTGAAGAGAAAGCATTATATCCATCTTACTGGATGTAGGTAATCAAGGGACATTTTCAATTTAGGCATATATCTTTCTCTGGAAATAAAACAATTATGTATCTCATGCCTTCCCTCTTTGAGATATGAATTACTCAGACATACTATGGGTTTGAACTGTTTCCTGCTTCCAATTTCTAGAGAAAATGTTACAAAGGTTTTCACTCATTAGTGAATTACTTGTATAAAAATAAAAATTTAAACTGTATAAAATGTAATCATATGCAAACAAAACTTACTTAGCTTTAAAAATGATTGAAAACTAATGCTATTCCACTAAAGTTTATTTGCAATTCAAGCCTATTTCTAGTGCATCTAGAGTTAGAGAACCCTGCCATAACTTAATTAAGCAGCTGTTCTCCAATTTGTCTTCATCAATAAAACTACTTCCAAATTTTTATTAGAAAGAACATCCCATTGAAATTTGAAATTAGAACCAATATTTGAACTAACTTTATGAAGGCTGTTGGCTCTAAAGAACAGTAACTGAGTTTCACAACATCATGTTTTTACCAACTGAAAGATGCAGTTCTATGGACAGGATAACTACAATTCTCAAAGCACCGTGAGGAATACAGACTGGAATATAAAATCCTTTTGCAATCTTCTAATCCATGATATGAAGCAATGAGCTAAACAAGCAAGTTACCTTGAATGTATAAAAATATTTCTACATACTTTTTATTTCTAGTATTTCCCACTGAGGTATTAGTTGGCTTTTCACAAATGACCAGAATGAATTCATTTCAAAATAAATTATGCACTGAATATCAGCTCGCAAGAAAAGATTTAAATTACTATCTTCTAGCAAAATATCTGCTCCCCTATCTTTAGCGGTGGTTTGAGTATAAATAAAAAGAGGTAAAATGCTGGCACTCCTTCTTCAGCCTCTACATTCAAACAGTGCAAAAATAATATCACAGAAATCTGCAACAAACAATGTAACTCCCCAAGGAGCACTGCTTGGTATATTCCCCAAACAGGCTTCACTAAACAGGAGGCCATGCTGCAAAATTAAGGAAATTAATTAGAGCATGCCTCTCTCTCTATATATATATATATCTTCTGGACCAATGCTTTTCAAACTTGGCAACTTTAAGATGTGCAGATTTCAACTCCCAGAATTCCCCAGCCCGCGCTGGCTGGGGGATTTTTGGGGTTGAAGGTCACACATCTTTAAAATGTCAAATTTGAAAAAAAATGTTTTTGAATATCAA